CTGTGACAGGGGTTGGAGCTGGATGAGCTCTAAGGTCCCTTCCAACATAAACCATTCTGTCACTGTGCATGCTCCCTGCAGACGGGGAAGACAGCTACCTGGACGTGGAGGTGCAGCTGAAACGGGAGCTTGCAGGCAGTGGCCAAGGGGGTAGCAGCTTCGTGGAGTGGTGGGTGGTGCGGCTGAAGGATGCCCCCGGCGGCACCAGCAACATCCTCCCCATGGTCATCTTCAACGACAAAGTCAGCCCCCCCAGCCTGGGCTTCTTGGCTGGTTACGGGTACGTGGATGGGGATGCATGGGGGGCACGGAGCGGATGCACCCAAGGGCAGGGGGGTTACAGGATGTGTGCCTCCCTGTATCTTGCAGGATCATGGGGCTGTACGTCTCCATCGTGCTGGTGATCGGTAAGTTCGTGCGGGGTTTCTTCAGCGAGATCTCGCACTCCATCATGTTTGAGGAGCTGCCCTGCGTGGACCGCATCCTGAAGCTGTGCCAGGACATCTTCCTGGTGCGGGAGACGGGCGAGCTGGAGCTGGAAGAGGAGCTCTACGCCAAGCTCATCTTCCTCTACCGCTCTCCCGAGACCATGATCAAGTGGACACGGGAGAAGGAGTAAAGGGGAAGGGGCTCCAGACCTGCACCCCTTTCCCTTCCCGAGGACATCACCACCGATGCCTTAACCAGCCCCGCACGCTGGGGCTGTATCCTGCCAGGGCACACAGTGGGACACGGGGCTTTCGGTGCTCGCTTTTAGGGGGGATGTTTTTCTTATGTTGCTTTGAAGCACCGTCTGACCTGCGGAAACCCACTCTGTGCCTTCCCAGGGAGGGGGACAGGAGCCGGACCCCCCCACCTGATGGGTACCCCTGGCCGTAGGGCAGGGGGGAGGCAGGAGCCAGCCTGTGCCTCCCCCCTGCTCTTCCCCAACCCCATCCAGAACCAGGTTAAACTCAAAAGCAATAGCCCCCCAGCCCCAGGATGGGGGGCCCTCGGTTGTGGCTCTCCCCTAGCTAGGAGGGGGGGGGGGCTGGCAGCCCCAGCTGGACTCTATAGACACTTATCGTGATGTTGGTTTTGTTGGTTTATTTTTTGTATTATTAATTCAAATGGTTTATTTATACAAATATCTAATAAAACAAAGCTGAGGCCTGCTGGAGTGATGCTCAGCTGGGGGTGGGGGGGAGATCCAGGGTGGGACCAGGGACCTATTGCTTTGGGGGTTCCAGCACCCTTGCCTACCCCAAGTGGGGCTGGGGGCTGTCCCTGCCCCTCAGCTGTAACCAAAATGAGGTGTAAAAGCAACTACTTGGGTGCCAGCAGTGCCCAGGGGCTCCCCACCATCCTACAGGGCACCCCTGGGGGACTGGCACCCTGCCCCACTGGTGCTCCAGAGCTATGGGGGGTCTGTGTCCCCCCACTGTCCCCAGCCCTTTCAGCTCTTGCCAAGCTCCTTGTCCTCCAGTGGAACCTCCTGGTTCTGCTGCTGCACCTCTGCACTGCAGGGAATAGACAGACACTGGATGGATCAGTGGATGGATGGATGGATGGATGGATGGATGGATGGATGGATGGACGGACAGATGGATGGATGGATGGATGGATGGATGGATGGATGGATGGATGGATGGATGAAGGAAGGGATGGACAAGGGATTGATGGGTGGATAGGTGAATAGTGGATGGATGGTGGATGGACAGTGTGTGGATGGGTGGGTGGGTGGACAGACGGATAGAAGGACGGACAGATGCGGCATCAGGAGGGTGCTGAGACAGCAGTGAAGGGATCCCCCCCATCCCCATTACCTGTGGATCCTGCGCTGGAACTCAGCACGCACATAAGGTGGAAGCGTGGTGATGGGACCCTGTAAGAGAAGAGCTGTGGGTATGGGGACCCCTGTTCCCAAGGAAAACACCCCACTGCACACCAAAAGCCTTACCAGCTCCTTGAAGGTGAGGCGGCAGCCGTAGCACAGCAGCGGGATGTAGGCAGACTTGCGCTCAGCCCTGTGGGGACAGGGACCCTCAGCGGTGGCCCTGGTGCCAACACAGCATCCTTCCCTTGTCCCCATGCTCACCCTGCTGCCGGGGGGTCCTGACAGCACCCATTCCTCTTCAGCTCCGGCTCATCTATGATCAGCGTGGGCTCCAGGGCCAGCTCCTCCTCTGCAAGAGCCAGAGAGCAAGGGTGTGATCTGGGGGTACACGGTGCCCCCAACCTCCTGATCCCCCCCACTGCCCTCCCCACTCACCCCCATCGAGGTCCAGAGCACAGAGGCAGAGCAGGCAGCGCTCAGACTCACAGCTTGGCTTGGCTCGAGCTGCGCTCATCTTCTCACCCGTCCTGCAGACAACACAGAGGGGTGAGGGGTGCACCCCCTTGCCCCCCATACCACCCCATGGTGCCCCCACAGAGGGGATGCTCTACCGGTAGACGGTGCTGATGGTGGAGGGGAACTCCTCCTGCTGCCCCATGAGGAACTGCTCTACCACATGGCGGATGCTGGGCTTATCCCGGCGCTGCGAGGGCAAACAGAGAGGGCAGGGATGGGAGAGGGGGTCCCAACCTCACCATGGGGGTTTGGAGCTTGGGATCCACCCCATGCAGACCAAGGGACACCCCTACCTTGGTGGGGAGCGGCGGTGCAATGACGGTGGGGACATTGAAGAAGTGGTTGTAGAAGGCAATCTCCTTGGCCGTGTACTCCCGCAGGGGACGCACCACCATCACGTCGCCGTGGCGGTCGTCCTTGAAGCCCTGTGGGTGCGTGGCTTCATGGGGGACCATGCCAGCACCAAGCCACAGACCTCGGGTCCACGGCATCATCGCTCTGGGTGGGAATGGACATCCCCAGCTAGAGGACAGGGTACCAGCGGGCTGCTCACCGTGTCGACGGCAAGGAAAGCACCACGACCCAGCGCCAGGTTGGTGAGGAGCTTGATGGCCACGCGTGTACAGGTCTCACCAGTCATCACCTTGGTGTAGCCCTTGGTCCGGGCTGTCTGCAGGATGAGGTGGATCCTGGGGACAGTGTGACACCACCTCAGAACCACTGCGCCGTGCCCAGTACTGGGGCCGGGCAGGATAAGCCCCTCACCGCAGCATCTGCAGCAGCTCCTCTTTTGCTGTCAGTGTCTGCACAGCCTCAAAGACCTTCAGCAGCTCCTGGGTGAGGGCAGCAGCAGGCAGGCGGGGGGCAGCTGGGGGACCCTCCGGTGACTCCCCACCGCCAGGGCCAGGTGGCAAGGTGCCAGTGTCCTTGTCCCTGTCCCCCTTCTGCCACTGCTGCTGGATGAAGCCCTCCACAGCCTCCTTATAGGACACACCGGGCTCACTGGGTGGCACCGGCCCAGGGCGCAGGATGGATGCAGGCAGCTCCAGCGCCTATGGGGCAGAGATGGACACTGGGAGGGTGGTATGGGGATAGCCAAGCATACCCCTTTACTCCAGCGTGTGTGTCCCTCACCACCCATGTACCTGCTCCAAGTGCACCAGGTAGTAGGGGAAGCCAGCTGCCTGCAGCAGGGTCTCCATGCAGGCCAGGCTCTGCTCCCGTTGTGCCGGGCTCTGCCCACGCACCGCTCCCTCTGCAAGGCAAGTGGGCAGCACCAGTGAGGACAGGAGGGGGCACCCATCCCATCCCATCCCTGGGGGACCCTGTACTGGGAGTGGGGGTAACCCCTACCATCAACATAGATGACACTGGGGGTGAAGCGAAGCTTCTTGGCTGTCTCCCGGCTGAGCCCCTGGCAAGAGGCACAGGGTAAGGTGGGTGCTTGAGTTGTGCCCCCCTCCCCAGACCCTCTCATCACCCCCATTCTCACCTCCTGTACCTGCCGGAGCATGGCACTGGAGGCTGGGCCCCCCGACACCGCCAGCAGCACCTACAAGGACGTGAGGGATGGTCACCGGTGCTGCTGCCACCGCTCAGGTCAGCCCCACACGTGTGCACCCCCATTGGTACCTTCTCTCCTGGGAAGATGATGCGGTTCTTTCCCAGCATCGCGCGGAACTTGTGCACAAAGTAGTCATGGAAGCAGTTGCTGCAGGGACGCAGCCCTAAGCCATGGCGTGCTCCACAGCCCACGGGTCCCCAAGCCCCAAAGCCCTCAATGCCCCTGTCTCCAAGCCTTGATGTCCCAGAGACCAAATGTTCCCAAGCCCAGACTTCCCAGAGACTCAATGTCCCCAGTCATTGATATCCCAGAGACCCAATGTCCCCAAGCCCCAAATCCCAGAGACCCAAAGTCCTCAACCATTAATATCCTCGAGATGCAACGCTCCCAAGCCCCAACATCCCCAAGCCTCCATGTCCCAAAGACCTCAGGTCCCCAACTTTTAATGTCCCAGCTACCCAATGTCCCCAAGCTCCAACACACCCAAGCCTTGACGCCCCAAGGAACCGATGTCCCCAACCCTTAACATCCCCGAGACCCAACGTCCCCAACCATTAACGCCTCACAGCCCCCATGTCCCCAGGCCCCGATGTCCCCTGCCCGCCCCCTCACCGGCAGAAGGGGTCCCCGACGCGGATGATGAGGGCGGCAGAGCCCTTCCGGCACTTCATGCAGGTCCGCGGGTGGCTGCGGGGACACGGCCGGTAACGACAGCACCGGGGACACCGCACCCCGGGGGCGGCACGGGGGGGGGGGGAGCGGCGATCCCGGTTACCAGGGGGGTTAGGAGGGGGTTACCTACCTAGGGAAGGGGGGGGCACTATGGTACGGGGGGCGAAGGGGGGGGACACCGAAGGGGTACCGGGGATAGCACCGGGTCGCGGATCGCGCTCCCACCTCTGTCCCGCGCCCCGGTGGCGCCGCGCCGGCCCCATGCCCGCTCCGCACCCGCCGCCGTCCTCCGCCGCCTCGCACATGGTCCCGAACGGCCGCGGCCTCAGCCCCTGCCTCGGCCCCGGCCCTGGCCCGTCCCGGCGCAGGCCGATGACGCAGGAGCGCGCCGTGGGGCCTGGCTCCGTCTCCGCCTCCCCTCCGCCGCCGCCGCCGCCGCCATGTTCCGGAGCCTGCTGGTGGCGGCGGCGCAGCGGCCCCAGGCCCCGGGCGGGTCCCCGCGGCCGCCCCCCGGCCCCGGCCCCAGCCCCGCGGGCGAGGCGCTGGAGGCGCAGTTCAGCTGCCCCATCTGCCTCGAGGTGTTCCACCGCGCCGTCGGCATCGCGGGATGCGGACACACGTGAGCCGGGGCCCGGGGCGGCGGCGGCGGCGGGGACCCCGGCCCGGCCCGGCCAGACCCAGCGCCCGCTGAGCGCTCCCCCCGCGCACCGGGCCCTCTGTCCCGTGACCCGGCCGGCACCGCTCCCGTCACCGTACTGGGATCCGTTCCCATCCCGGTACCGGGGCCCCATCCCACCCGTACCCGCGGTCCGGTACCGGTGTCCCCATGCCACCACCCCATCCCGGTACGGTGACCTCCATCAGCTGACACCTATCCCCCCCCTCCCAGCCTGCTGTGGGGACCCTCATTGTTCCTTCTCCATTTAGCCCGGTACCGGCACCCTCCATCTCCCCCACAGCCCGGTACCGGGGCCCCCAGCAGCTCCATCAGCACCGGGTGCCTTACCCCCATCCTAAAGCCCGTTTCCCTCTTGGGGAGCTGGGTACTGCCTTGTTCCCTCCATTGATCACCTAAACCTTGCCTCTCTGTGCCCACACCTGGTTCCTGCCCCCAGTGTCCCCCTACACCCTGCTCCCAGTGCCAGCCGGGGTCTGACCTGATGGGAATCCTGCCCTGACCCCACAGGTGCTGTGCACCGCTCCCATTGCCCCCAGTACATGGTGAAAGGCTGAAGTGCTGCCCTGGGGAGCAGGGGTCTGTTTGTCCCCACAGCGTTCTGGGGACACCTTGTCCCCCTTTCCCATCCTATTCCTGGGGCATCTCCCCTTGTATGGTCTCGCTCTTCCCCCCATCTCCAGCACATTTGGGGCTGGGGGTGCTTCATGGGGTGATGGCAGTGGCGTGGGGCAAGGGGCACTGTGGCTGTCCCTCAGCAGGGGCTTGGCAGCAGCATTTCATTCCCCCATTGTGGGTGATGTGAGCTGGGATGGCAGCGGAGGGGATGGGGATGCCGTGACCATTGACTTTGTGGGGATGGAGCTGCTTTGCCTTGTGCCCGGGGGTCCCTTTCTGTGCTTCCTCTCCGCTGCTTTGATTTCTCATCCGTGGTGCTGCAGGCATAAGGACCTTGAAATGAGGTGAACCAGGCTCTGATGTGCTCACTGCCTTTATTGCTGCATGGCCTCAATGCTCAGCACCAGTTGTTGTTTGGCTCTGTTCAAATCCACTCCCAGCCTCAGGTCTCACTGCATCAGCAATGGCTGCCCCCCCCCCCCGCACCCTCTCCCGGGCTCCCAGTTCTCCCAGTGGGGATGCTGATCCCTGAGGTTTGGGTCTGCTCTGCAGCCTGGGGTGTCCTGGGGCTGGGGACCCCCTTCTCCTCCCTACATCAGGTTGCTCAGTGCCGCTCTCTGTGCCCCCAGGTTTTGTGGGGAGTGCCTGCAGCCCTGCCTGCAAGTGCCATCCCCTCTGTGCCCGCTCTGCCGCATGCCCTTCGATCCCAAGAAGGTGGAGAAGGCTTCCAGTGTGGAGAAACAGCTTTCGTCCTACAAGGCTCCTTGCAGAGGCTGCAGCAAGAAGGTAAAGCTCATGGGGGAAGGCTGCCCATACCCATCCTACTGCCTGTCCCATGGCTGGAGGTCACTTGCTGTTGGTGGTTGGGATCGTGGGGGCCTCTGTTCAGAGTGTCCCCTCTTCAGTGTGGCCCCACATTGTGCCCATGAGGTCTGGTGTCCCCTGCGTGTCACTGCTGCTGCTATGAGCCAGGCAAGCGGGGCTGCGTGGAGATGAAGGCACTCTCTCCTAGCTGCCTTTGTCAGCAGACTGGAGCTATTATTAGACAGTGGGGACCTTCAAAAGCAGGCTGAGGTTTTCCTGCAACACAGGAGAGGCTGAGGCAAACCAGCTCTGCTCCAAGTGAGGGTAAGGATTTAGCTCTTGCTTAAGGTGCTGCAATCCCAGCGGCTGTGGGGAAGCTGAACCAGCAGCATGGCCTGGCCCTGCCTGGGGCAGTCTGGTCTGGGACGCTCCAGGACTGGCTGTAAAGCTGTGATTCATGGTGTGTCTCTGCTGATGCACTTCCTGGCTCCCATTAACTTTGGGGATCTTGGAACTGCCTGGCTGTGACCCAGGGACAGTCCTCTGCAGTGTCAGAGCAGTGTGTCCTTTGAAAAGGAAAATGGAGCTAATGTAATAACACAGCCCGGGTGGCTGTGTGTGACCTCTGGGGATGCGTGCAGTGAGCATGTGGCCCCAAATCTCTGTCCTGCAGAGAAGAATGTGCTGGCGTAGCGTTTCCACACTGGTGTGGCTCATCCTGCACAGCCCAGTGGTTGGCCAAAACTGCTGTCCTGATCTGTGGCAGAGGCTCCATCACTGTCTGGAAGCTGACAGGAACATCTCTCCTTGTGCTGCAGGTGACCCTTGCAAAGATGCGCTCTCACGTCTCGTCCTGCACAAAGGTGCAGGAGCAGATGGCCAACTGCCCCAAGTTTGTTCCGGTTGTCCCCACGTCCCAGCCTATTCCCAGGTACTGCCATTGTGTCGGGTAAGGAAATGCATCCCTCCCTGTTGGGCTGCACTGTCACTCTGGTCTAAAAATCCAAGCGTGGGTTTTACTTTCCTCTGGGAAACCAAAGGGAGAAGCATCAGCACCATTTCCCTCCTGTCACCTGCAGCCCCTGTCTGCGCTGTGTTCAGAGTGTGGAGTGGGAGGAAGGACCGAGCAAACCAGGGTGGTTCAGCCTGCAGCTGGGGTGGGAACAGGCTGGGCTGGTTTCTGCTATGCCTGGATATCACAGAGCGGATGGATGGCTTAGTTTGGAAGGAGTCAATCCAGTCTTTTCCTGGGGGATCTGAGCTCGCCTTTGCTCTCTTTAGCAACATTCCCAATCGCTCAACGTTTGTGTGCCCGTACTGTGGGGCCCGGAACCTGGACCAGCAGGAGCTGGTGAAGCACTGCATGGAGAACCACCGCAACGATCCCAACAAAGTGGTGAGTGATGCTGGGAGGGGTTGGTTCTGTGCGGGGTAACTCCTGGAAATCCAAATACACCGTAGCTGATGCTGCATCTGAGGCCACTGGTGTGCAGAGCTGTGTTTTCAGCTGGCTTAGTTTGGTTTAGATCCCTTTGATGGGAGGTGGGGACCTGCCCCTGTTTGTTTTGTTAAGAGGCTCTCTAGGATGAGCTGCCTCCATCCCCATGTGCTATCAACCTGGGTGGTGCTGGATTTCCTCTCCCCATCCACACTGGGTTGACCAAGGCAGGGAACCTGCAGCTTTATCGCTGTCTCAGAGGTGCTCACATGCATGTGTGACTTGTCAGTGGCCTAAAAGCAGGCTGGGCCATGGGCCAGAGGCTCTGTGCACCAAGAGATGTACTGGGGGTGGGGGGTGAGGGACCCCCCTTTTAGCACACCCTCTGCAGATCCCACTCTGTCAGAAACAGGGGGAGCACCACTCCCCTCTTCAGGAGGTAAGAGATGGAAGGGTCTGTGCCTAGTGGTCATGGTTCTCTTTTGTCCCTGCCTTCTGCAGGTGTGCCCGGTCTGCTCAGCCATGCCGTGGGGGGACCCCAGCTACAAGAGCGCCAACTTCCTCCAGCACCTCCTCCACAGACACAAGTTCTCCTATGACACCTTCGTGGTGAGTACCTCAGCTGAAATGGGGTCATCTTCCCCCAGCCTGGAGGGGAAGGGGACAGGTCCTCCTTTAGGCTTTGTGGGAGGCACATGTAGCCCCTCTCAGGACACCCTCACAGCTGTGGGGCTGAGCTCCCCCTCTGCTCTGGGAGAGCTCAAGCTGATCCTCATCAGACACGCCAGGAAAACCTCTCTGAACAAGGAGGAAAATGTTACTGCACCGTGAAGATGAGCTGTTTCCTCCATGTGCTCCGTTAAACTCATCCCCTGGGGAGCTGTAACACAAAGGCCTTTTCTTTGAGGCTTCACAAGCAGTGGGAGGGGAGCAGCCCAGGCTTGGGGGGATCTGGCTGCTGTAGTTGAGTGGTGTCCATGGATCCCCTCTTGGGGAGCTGATGACCATTCCTGAATGGAGACTGGGGGTGTGATGGCCCAGACCTGGCTGCAGGGACTGAGGGGAGGTTCTGTCAGCATTGTAGCTTTATTGCAGGGCCATTAGAAGTCAGGGAAAGGAACATCCAAATACTTAAGAGAGAAATATCCCCACTTAGGGAGTGATCACTGTGTTGTATAAACCCAGACTGGAGTGATGGAGAAACCTGTGACCCTGCTAGAAAGTTTTTCCCTTTGGCCACAGCTGCTGGCATGGGCATATTTTGTCCCTGCCCTCCACCACGTCTAAGAGCAGGGCTGGTGTTGGCAGATTCCAGGCTGGAGAGGGACTGTGGGCACAAAGGATGCCCCAAGCAGCACAGCATTCTTGGGACACACGTGCCAGAGGAATAGAAGGCTCGGTGTCACCATGAAGAGCAGGGAGGGCTCCCTGATGCTTGATGTAGAATCTGTGCCCTGGCTGTACCACTGATGACCGTCCCTCTCTGATTTTAGGACTACAATATCGACGAGGAGGCAGCGCTGCAGGCAGCCCTGGCACTGTCACTGTCCGAGAACTGAGGGTGCCTGGGGAGCATTGGACCCCCTTTTGCACACTCAGCCTTCCCACTGGGGAGGCACGGAGCTTATCAACCCCCTGGAGACCCACTGCTGCTGCTCTTCCCTCTCCTCTCTGTGCACATCCCACCTTGTTTAAGAAGGTGGCGTGTCCTTATGTCGCGCTGGACCGGTGAGTGAGCAGAGACTTCATGCAGGGAGAAGAGAGGAGTCAGCACCGGAGGGATGGGACCGTTCCTCCATTAGGCATTTCATACCCATATACAGAGTATATACCTGTGTCCAGATCTATTTATTATTAGATGCTTTTTGGCACTGTTTGTCTTCATGCTCTTTGTTGCAGTTGAATAGGTACGTCAAACCTGGATGCATTTAATGCAGAAATGCCCTAGTTGGAACCTGCAATCATCCATCCTTTGTGGAAAGGAAGAAAACGGCACGGAGCATCCTTTGGGTTTTGAAACTCCACAAGGTTATTGCCAGAGACATCGATCTGTCCCATCCCCAGTGCTGCTTCCTTTGCTGCCCAGGCCAGGCGCATCCCAGGGCAGGACGGTTGCCCTCATGCTGACAATGGGTTTGGAGGAGTCCACAGCAATGGCATCCAGTAAAACTCTTGCCTTCCCCGTTTTGTACCGGCTCTTGTGATACTGAATTCTTGCATTTTTCTACATGAATCAGTGTGATGCCTTTTCCACGTTTTATAGAGTGGGAACAGAAGCTGTTAACTCTTCACACTGCAATATCCGACACTGAGGACAAGAGTATTTTTATGGAACATTATTAAGAAAGTCTATTTTTAAAACAAAAAATACCCCAAACACACAAAAACGCTGTGGACTTGAAATCAGGTGGGAGGCAGCAGCTGGACCCCAGACTGATGGATGTGCCTGGATGTCCTCTGGCTGTTTCTGGTCCATTCCCTTCCCTTGTTGGCATGTTGTGATACAGGACACGCTGGGTCAGAGCAGCACCTCTTCGGCTGCCTCTTTGAGGAGCTGCAGCATCACTTGTATTCTCCAGCACCTGGGGCTTGCCATCAGGCTTGGGATGGCTGAGCCCTTGCAGGCGTTGCTCCATCGCACTGCTCAGTGTGGTTTTGGTTTGTGAAGGAGCAGGCAGGTTAGTTGTGGGGTGTTGGCACTCACTATGGAGCAGCCGGACTGTGTCTGGGTGATGGGTGTGCAGGAGGGATGTCTGCCTGTGCAGCATCCTATCCCCAGCACTGGGGGTCTTGTCCCCCTGAAATAGGGGATTACACCTCCCTTCCTTGGGAATAGGGCACACTTGGGCAGATGTTGATCCAAGAGATGCTCCATAGCCTCCTGGTGACCTGTCTTCTTCCATGTCCCCTTCCTGTCTGCCTTTCCTGCCTGCTGCTGGTGGGGTTTGCTCTGCTGGGCTGGGAGAGGGTGGAAGTGGGATCTCCACCTGCAGGCCTTGGTTGTGCTACTGCCAGCCTGAGCATGCCCCCCTGTGCAGCAGAAATCATGTCCCTTATGGAGGGTCTTCACTGGTGCTTGGGGAGAAGAGCTTTGTGCTGGGGCCCTACCGCCCTTTGGGGTCTCACCAGTGACGATCAGCCCAGGGTTCTCGGTGAAGGAGCTGTGATGCACGGTACCTTCCAGTGAGGGTTTGCAGGGGAGAGGTTTGGGAGAGCAGTCCCTCTGCGTGTCCCTGCTTGGTTTATGCGAGGCTCCAGCTCTGCTCTAGCAATACTGTTCAGGTTTTCACCTTTGATTTGAATGGTACTGAGTACTTTGGGGGCTGTGAGTTCCCTGTGCTGCCAGCAGCTCTGTGAGGAGCATGCAGACTATGGCAGTGAAAGGGCTGGAGCTGCTCCGCTCCCCTAGCAAGGATGGATGGGGTCTTCTCTTACCAGCACCGCTGGTACCTGCCTGGCCAGGAACGTGGCCCTGGTGGGGTGGGGAGCACTGGTATCTCCAAAGGGACCCATGAGGGTCTCCTTGTCCCATCCCTAGCTGGGACCCTCATATCCTGGAGCAGCCTCGCACTTGCAGGGAGCTCCCTGTCTCTGGGACAGCACTGTTAACCTCTTGTCTCCTTCCTTCCTTCCTCTTCCTTTCTGCCCCGCAGCGCCAGAGCCGGGGTGAAAGAGCTGCTTTTGTAAAGCACTTTAAGGCGCAGGCAGGCACTGCACGGGCAGCTCCTGCCTCTCCCCACGGGGCACGCTCCGGGAATGCCGCCGTGGCTCGTCTGTGTGTTCCCTGTGACTTTTTGCATATCCAGAACTTTTACTGTTTTTTGATGAAGAATCAGATCAATAATGTATTTGTAGCAAACCATTTTTCTCAATAAAGGCAGTTTCATCCACGCCTGGTCTCCCTTGTGTCTTCAGGATGCGGAATGGGACCATGAGGTGCATGCCCCCCCATCCTGGCTTCTTGGGCTTCTCCTTTCCCAGACACAGAGCTTGGCTTTGCAGCTTTGTCCTTATGTTGTCACCTCCTCCTGTTAACAGTGATGCTGTTTGATCCCGGAGCCAGGCACTGCCAAACCTGCTGGGGGAATCCCCCCATCACATCCTGGCTCTGTGTCCCACCATCCCTGGCACTCCAAGGCAGGACATGGGGAGGGCACTTGGCACCATGTCCTGTCCCCAGAGCTGCACTGGGCACTGGCCAGGGCACCACGTCGGGTGTTCCTTCCATGGGTATCCCAGGGAGGTGTCCTGGCTCCGAGCCCCATCGGGGTTCTCCAGGGACATGGCTCTGCACAGCCAATCCCTGCAGTGAGGAGGGACCGATCCAGGGAGCAGCCGCTGGTGTCCCTTTGCAGCGGTACAGGGTTCACCCTTGTCCCAGTGCTCCTGTTCCCCCAAGTGTGAGTCTTGGGGGCACAATGGCCAGGGCTGATCACATTGAGGAACCCCCTTATCTGCCCCCCAGGCAGCCCCTGTGAGGCCTTTTGGGGCCAGGTGGGCATGGCAGAAGAGGGGATGGATGTGTAGCCATGCAATGGTGGCCACCACCAACACCGTGTCTGCCTGTGCCTGCAGGGAGAAGGGGCGTTGGGGTCCCCATGAGCTGAGGGCCTGCTCCGTCCTGTCCCACCTCATGCCATGGGGATGCTACAGGCAGTGGGATCCCATTTGTGGTGGCAGCACTTGGGGACACGACTGTCCCCAGCACTGTCCCCTCACCTGCATGCAGCTGGCCCCGTGTTAATGAGCCCTGGGTCTTGTGGCAGCTACTGGTGCCTGCAGGGACACAACAGAGGGACACGGCGTGGGGACACATGAGCAGAGGAAGTGCGTTCCCTATTGTTGGCATGGCTTTCCCTGCTCAGCCAGCATCGTGTCCCACCAGCCCTGGGGCAGGATCCGGCTGGAATCTCACTGCCAGACCCTCTATGTGTTCTGTAGAGCATCTTCCCCCCCTGTCCTGCATCCCCACAGCTCCCAGCCTGGAGGGTGATGCAGCAGGGCCCCTAAAAGAACCCTGGTGCCATGCTGGGGTCTGGCCTGGCCGCATGGGGCTGGGATGGCAGAGATGGTGGGAACAAGGACACCCTGCAAGTGGCCCTGAGCATCCCTATGGCATGGCCAGTGTCTGAATGACGACCGTGGGGCTACCCCCACCGCAGGGGTCCCAGTGCCATCCCTATGACCCCCAGTACCCCAGTACATGGTAGTGGGGACCCTTGTGCCAGGGCATGGAGGGGGAGACAGGCTGGATTAGGAAGCTGCTTTGTGCATCCCTGCTGCTAAATCGGGTCCTGAAGCTGAGGGGAAAGAATCCCACATCCCAGAATAGCTGCCTTCCGAGTCCTCTGGTCCCACCCATGGAAAATGCCTATGAATATCGGGATGTGGGGCCAGGGACCCCTGCCCTGCCACCCAGGGGGCACCACGGTGTCACCCACATCCTCCCCCCAACACCTGGAGCTGGGGGTATTTTATGCTGCAATGAGTGACCATAGGATGGGGGTGATACAGGCGGTGGGTCTGCGTTGGGGGGGCCTGTAGGGATGAATGGGGCTACCCAACCCCTGGTGTGCTAAGGGCATTGGGAGCACTGGAGGGATGCTGGGGGCACTGGGTCCAGTGGAGGGGCATTGGGATATTGGGGTAACAGCGCATACTGGGAGCACTGGGGGGTGTGAAGGCACTGGGAGCAGTGAAGGCACTGGGGTCATGAAGGCTCTGGGAGCACTGGGGGAGCACTGGGGATATTGGGAACATGGGGATGGGATGTGCTATAGCGGTACTGGGAGCACTGGAGACACTGAGGCAATGCTGGGATAAATGTGAGAGCTGAGGCATCAGGGATACTGGAGGGAATGAACTGGTAGCACTGGAGACCTGGGGTTTGGAGTTTGGGGAGCACTGGGAACACTGCAGGGATAGGGAACACTGGGGGCACTGGAGACATTGGCAGTACTGGGGGCACTGGGGGCACTGGGAGCACTGGAAACACTTGGGGGCACTGGAGCACTGGAAGCACTGGGGGGAACTGGGAGCACTAGGGACACTGAGATCACTGGGGGGCACTAGGGTGCACTGGTAGTACTGTGGGGCACTGAGGGCAGTGAGAGCACTGGAAGCACTGGGGAGCACTGGGGGGCACTGAGGGTCACTGGAAGCACTGGAAGCAATGGGAGCACTGGGGGCACTGAGGGGCACTGGGGGCGCTGAGGGCACTGAGGGGCACTGGAAACACCGGGAGCACTGGGGGCACTGGGGGGACTGAGGGGCACTGGAAACACTGGAAGCACTGGGGGGCACTGGCAACACTGGAGACACTGTGGGCACTGGGGGGTACTAGGGGGCATTGGGGGCAATGGGGGCACTTGGGTGCACTGGGGGGCACTGGGAACACTGGGTGCACTGGGGGCACTGAGGGAACTGGGGGGCACTGAGGGCATGCAGGGGCATGGGAAGCACTGGAAGCACTGGGAGCACTGGGGGACACTGGGAGCACTGGGGCCACCAGGGTGGCACTGTGGGATCACTGGAAGCACTGGGAGCACTGGGGGCACTAGGGGGCACTGGGGGAACTGGAAGCACTGGAAGTACAGGGAGCACCGGGGGACACTGGGAGCACTGTGGGGCACTAGGGGGCACTGGAATCAATGGGGGCACTAGGTGGCACTGCGGGCACTGGAGGCACTGGGAGCACCAGGGGACTCTGGAGTACTGGAAGCACTGGGGGACACTGGGATGGCACTGTGAGCACTGGAAGCCCTGGGAGCACTGGGGGCACTGAAGGCACTCGGAGCACTGGGGACACTGGGGCACCTGAAGCATTGGGAGGACTGGAAGCACAGGAGGCACTGGGGGCAATGGGAGCACTGGGGGCACTGAGGGGACTGAGGGCACGCAGGGGCATGGGAAGCACTGGGAGCACTGGGGGGCACTGGTGGGGCACTGGGGGATCACTGGAAGCACTGGAAGCACAGGGAGCACCGGGGGACACTGGGAGCACTGTGGGGCACTAGGGGGCACTGGAATCAATGGGAGCCCTAGGGGGCACTGTGAGCACTGGAGGCACTGGGAGCACCAGGGGACTCTGGGAGCACTGGAAGCACTGGGGGGGACTGGGAGCACTGGGGTCACTGGAGGCAGTGGTGGCAGTGGGGGCACTGGAGCACTGGCAGTACTGGAAGCACTGGGAGCACTGGGGGCACTGGAAGCACTGAAGCACTGCAGTCACTTGAGGCACTGGAAGCACTGGGAGCAGCAGGGGACACTGGGAACATTGGAAGCACTGGGGGGCACTGGCGGGGCACTGGAAGCACTGGGAGCACTGGGGGCACTGGGGGCACTGAGGTGGACTGGGAGCACTGGGAGCACTGGGGAGACTGGGGGC